CCACCTTAAAAAATGTTTTATATCAAAGAGAGATAAAACTGAGGCACATGTGCGTGCAGGGTAATGGTACACTGTTCGTTTACCCAAGGACTCTCCTAGCTTTGAAGTAAAGTCTTACATAATGTACTGGTGATCACAGGGCGGCAGAACGGCAAATCAGTGGTGACGATACGCCTTAAAACAAACTGCTAACAGCGGTCACTCAAAATTGCTTATGCATTCTGACTGTCTCAGAATATTCTAGAGTCAGTCTGGTCCAGAATGTTGTGAAGGTTGTCTGAGGTTTTGTACATAATGAGACGACAGACAGGCTGATGCAATTCTTTATAATAATATTGTGGGTCATGCCACGAAAAGTGTCACACCTAACACAAGGATGATACCTGCTGAAATTTATGTATTTATTTATTCATTTATTCATTTAATTATTTATTTATTCATGCGTTTATTTAACCGATTTAAATATTTATAGGAAGGTTGCATTTAACAAAAAAGACTAAAGAATAACTCTGTCACTGTTTAGGATATTTCAGTAGGTCGTCATCCTGCGTTACGTGTACACATGTCATGGAATGGCTCATACACATGTTATTAATCTGCCTGTTTTTGACTACATCTATCTGAAATCATTCACAGATTTTAATGGCGCAGATGGTTATTGAACTTGACAAATCTACCGAGGTTCTGAGTTCGAAGCTGTGTAGGATTTAATTTGTTATCATTCCTACTGAAATATGTTTCCCTTTGCCATGTGCTACTCTCTATAAGTTGCGTTTGAAGAAACATTACTTTTCACAATGTAATAATAGAAACAACCCAACCATATTTCCTCCCCGACACGAAAAAAAAGTTAAGAGAGAGATTTTTTTAAAAAGGGTTAGGCACATGTATAAGAAGGTGCGATGTTTGTTAAGAGAGATTTTAAAAAAACGACTTTCCTTGCTGTGGAGTAAAATTCTAATGTATTGGTGAGAGAGAGAGAGAGAGAGAGAGAGAGAGAGAGAGAGAGGGGGGGAGAGAGAAAGAGAGAGGGAGAGAAAGAGAGAGGGAGGGAGGGAGAGATGGAGGGAGGGAGAGGGAGAGACAGACAGACAGACAGGCAGACAGACAGACAGACAGACAGACAGA